AAATCTTGCCATGTCTCTCAGGTTACTCGACTTGAAACTATGCTCATCCAATGTTGAATTATTAAATAATTTTGTGGATAAGGCTGTTGAGGCTCTTTCGGAGAAATTGAATTTACAATCTCGTGTGGTCTTCAAGCAGGACACTTTCCAATCAGCGCCAAGTATGGAGGGCCATACTTGGCGACTTTCAGACAAGCCCAGTCCCTTCATCATCTGAAAACTTGTCTTGGAGCTGGATGGCTAAAGAAACCAGCGGCCTTCCCGGCATGTCGGATCGTTTACTCAGTTCTGTCGCCACAGGAGTTAACACCTATCACTCACTTTACGCACTAAATATTTTAAGCAACCGACTGCCTCGGAGCTTTCAAATCAGGGTCCAGCATCGTGATGTGTGAGGTGGTGGTGTAGGTACGATCCCCCCCTCCGGGAGAGGGTGTCAATGCGCTCCCCCCACCTCGATGAGGGTCTCGGTACGACTCCCTTCCCCCCCCCCCTTCCCCAACACCTTCCCACAAATTTCCCCCGTTTTCCACAAATTTCTCTCAAAAGAACATACGCCCCTTATCCCTCCCCAGAGAAAATGTACGACCTCCCTGTGTGTTTCACACAACGATGCTGTACCCTGTTTCAAATGTTGCCCCAGATTACTTTGGAAAATTTCACTTTGTACATTCGCACATATACTCCATATCCCAAGATGGAGAGGGCGTGCCTGCGTGGTTCATTTAACGTGGGCTCAGATGTGTTTCTTGCGAAATATTTTCCTCGAGACAACTGTCATCCTGCTTATGCTTGACAAGGCATAAGACAGGACGACAGTGTGATATTCCGCAAGAACAAGAAGACAGGCGAGAAGGAGTAACATTCGTCCCAAAACGGCAATATCCCAACAAGAGTGCAGATGAATGTATAAACCAAGTTACGGTACTCAGATTTTTAGATTTGTGAGGGGTTTCGACTCAATTTTTGGATGCAGTTAATTGCCAATTAATTCCGATTCACTGCTTTCTTAAATGATGCTTGACAACGCTGAGTCCTCGGAAACAAAAAAGAACTTCTAATCTCGGCTAACTCCCATTTTGCATAGAATGATCCCAGCAAAGAACCTGCATATTCGCCGGAATAAACACATCATTTGCAGCTCTATGCAAAAGCGACATCAACCTCGCCTGCGCCAGTATTGCAACTACTCTCAATGAACTTAATATGAACTGGCTGGCCATTAGAACAGCATTGCTGTAGCAGAAATGAGTAGAAGAAAAGCCATCTTAAATATTAATAACACCTGGGCGTATCAGAAGGCGGATTTA